CTGGGTAGAAGAGTCTTGGTTGTAGATTTTTCCCTTTCATCCCTTTAAATATGTTCTGCCACTCCCTTCTGGCTTGCAGAGTTTCTGATGAAAGATCAGCTGTTAACCTTATGGGGTTCCCTTGTATGTTATTTGTTGTTCTTCCCTTGGTGCTTTTAATATTTTTCTTTGTATTTAATTTTTGATAGTGTGATTAATATGTGTCTTCGTGTGTTTCTCCTTGGATTTATCCTGTATGGGAGTCTCTGTGCTTCCTGGACTTGACTATTTCCTTTTCCATGTTAGGGAAGTTTTCAACTATAATCCCTTCAAATATTTTCTCAGTCCCTTTCTTTCTCTCTTCTGCTGGGATCCCTATAATTCTCATGTTTATGCACTTAATGTTGTCCCAGAAGTCTCTGAGACCATCCTCAATTCTTTTCATTCTTTTTTCTTTATTCTGCTCTGTGGTGGTTATTTCCACTATTTTATCTTCCAGGTCACTTACCCATTCTTCTGCCTCAGTTATTGTGCTATTGATTCCTTCCAGAGAATTTTCAATTTCATTTATTTTGTTCTTTATCATTGTTTGTTTGCTCTTTAATTCTTCTAGGTCCTTGTTAAACGTTTCTTGTATTTTCTCCATTGTATGCACAAGATTTTGGATCATCTTTACTATCATTACTCTGAATTCTTTTTCAGATAGACTGCCTATTTCCTCTTCATTTGTTTGGTCTGGTGGGTTTTTACCTTGCTCCTTCATCTGCTGTGTTTTTCTCTGTCTTCTCATTTTGCTTAACTTATTGTGTTTGGGGTCTCCTTTTTGCAGGTTGCAGGTTCGTAGTTCCTGTTGTTTTTGATGTCTGCCCCCAGTGGCTAAGGTTGGTTCAGTGGGTTGTGTAGGCTTCCTGGTGGAGGGGACTAGTGCCTGTGTTCTGGGAGATGAGGTTGGATCTTGTCTCTCTGGTGGGCAGGACCACATCCGGTGGTATGTTTTGGGGTGTCTGTGACCTTATTATGATTTTAGGCAGCCTCTTTGCTAATGAGTGAGGTTGTGTTCTTGTCTTACTAGTTGTTTGGCATAAGGTGTCCAGCACTGTAGCTTGCTGGTCACTGAGTGGAGCTGGGTCTTAGCGTTGAGATGGAGATCTCTGGGAAAGTTTCGCCATTTGATATTATGTGGAGCAGGGAGGTCTCTGGTGGACCAGTTTCCTGAACTCGGCTCTCCCACCTCAGAGGGACAGACCTGACACCTGGCCGGAGCACCAAGACTTTGTCAGCCACACGGCTGCTAGTGTTGGAGGGTCTCCTGCAGAGGCGGGGGGTGGCTGTGGCTTACCATGGGGACAAGGACATTGGCAGCAGAATTTCTGGGATGTACTCTTGGCGTGAGCCCTCCCAGAATCTGCCATTAGCCCTCTCTGACCTAGGTTTTTGTCTTATGGGGTAAAATTTTCAACATGTAGTTAAATCTGGTCTTCCTAAAGCTGGTCCGCCTTCAGCAGCAACTTTTTCCAGCCCCTCTTGCTCTTGTGTACTTTTGACATGATCTCACTGTCTTTGATGGTTGTTTTGCTCATTGACACAACAATATAACACAATTTCATCTTGTTTATTTCCTATCTCAAACCTGGAATTAGCTATTACCCCCAGTAAGTCCTCATACTTTTTCTGTGGAATAGTATTTAGAGAACTTTTTTGCATCATTTTGTATATTTTTATCATAGACTAAAGGAAAAATATTTGTAGTCAATGTTGATTTAAGCTAGCTTTATTATAATGTTACTTAAACATAAATAACAGTAGAGCTATGTATAAATAAATATCATAGGCTTATGGTGCTTATACAATTAGAAAACCAAAACAATAAACAACAAAACTAATAAATTAACAGCATTAATGCTATGCATTATATTGTTTTCCTGAAAGTAAATTACATTTCATAACATGAATATGACTCCACAATAGCATATTGAGCAAAGCTTATCTTATTGTATACTATGGGATGACTCACTTGCCCCACCACTTTATTCCAACTACCAAGAAATTATACTATGTACAGCACACCTGGTATATGACCAGACCATACAATTTACAAAGTCTGACTCCTTCATTTCATATCAACCTAAAATAATTAAAGTGGTACTCTCTGGTGTTGATGTGCTTGTAAATACAAAAACAAATGTGAGTGTTGCTAATGTATGACAGTGTTCAGTTACAAAGCAGTCTTCCAGATGATTCTGAATATGCTTATGTTAATTTATTTTAGATTATTTCCTTGGGAGATGGCCAGGTGCTGGTTAAAGCAAGAAGTCTAAGAGTTTTCAGAGAACAGGTTGAAGTTAAAGGGAATATATCTGATGACAAACTGTGACTTCGGAAGTACATGAGGAAGGAGGGACAGCAACATGTGGTTTCTAAATGTACCATAGCAAAACACTATTAGTTAGCCAAGACTATCAAGGGAAGTAGAGGGAGTGAAGTGAGCAAGCTACAAAACAAAGCAAGCTACAAACTACAAAGAGTTTATAGCACCTAACTAATATTGGTCTTGGGGCTATAGCGTCTCTGTCACAACTATTCAATCTGCAGCTGTAGCCCCAGTGCAGCCATAAACAGTATGTACACAAATGAGCATGGCTGTGCTCCGTAGAACTTTATTTATGGGCACTGACATTTGAATTTTGTCATTTTAAAGTGTCTTGAAAAATTATTTTTCTTTGAATGTTTAAAAACTATTTAAAAATGTAAAAAACATTCTTAGTCTCAGGCCATTAAAAACGCTGAAGCATGACTATAAAAGCAACACTTACTAATTAAAATAATAGCACAAACAGCCTTCCTTAACATAGTATTTAATTTACCCTTCAAATAAACATTGACCAAATATCTAAAAGATGTGTGTTGGATCGTCTTCCACATGGTTGCCCAGCTGGGAGGCCTACAAGTCTCCTTCATTCCTTGCCTGAATATCATCCTTGACTTCCAGTGGGAATTGACAGTAATGTTTAAGCAGGGGAATGAGGTATCAGTTTTGTTTGGTTTGTTATGCAAAGTGATCTTTGTGGTGGTGTAGACTCTACACAGTAAAAGATATCAAGTGGAGTAAAGAGAGACTTGTAGCCGAGAAACGAGTTAGGAGGCTATTGTACAGACCTATTTGCTGAGGGCCTCAACTGAAATGAAATTGAAGTCAGGAAGCTTTATTTGAGATATTTTTCTGATCTGGTGATTTTTGATTTCAGGATTTGATGGCAAATGGACCAGATGAACAGGTTAGGAAGGTGTTGCAGTAATCCAGGTAAGAAGGGATATGAACCCAAATAGGGTAATGATATTAGGAATGGAAAAAATTGGATGAATTACACAGATATTAAGGAAGTAGAAGTCTCAGGACAATTTGATGGAAGAGGTGTTTGGAGAAAGAGAGAAGAGCAAGGATGATCTTCAGGTTTTAAAAATTATCTACCACAATGTACTGTTCACAAAGGTTTTTAATGTAGAAACCCCACATCTTTCTCAGATTTTTCCATGTCGCCTATTGGAATTGTCACTGGGAGAAGACCTTTCAAATAGTATTTGCCAGGGTATCCAATGCAGAAACACAGCATGGATGGGAATATACTCATAAAAATACCTTTCTTCATCTAGGAGGGAAAATAAAAGTGTAAACAAGTAATACCTACAGGGGTCAGCAAACTATTGTGCACAGGCCAAATCTGGACGGCTGCCTGTATTTTTAATGGCCTGAGACTAAGAATGTTTTTTACATTTTTAAATAGTTTTTAAACATTCAAAGAAAAATAATTTTTCAAGACACTTTAAAATGACAAAATTCAAATGTCAGTGCCCATAAATAAAGTTCTACGGAGCACAGCCATGCTCATTTGTGTACATACTGTTTATGGCTGCACTGGGGCTACAGCTGCAGATTGAATAGTTGTGACAGAGACCCTATAGCCCTCAAAGCCTAAAATATTTACTACTTGGCTCTGTACGTAGACAGTTTGCAGACTCCCGGTCTTCTATAAGCCAGATACTGTTCCAGGGCTTTCACACTGTGTCTCTTACTTTTCTCAAAACCTTTAGTGGTATATTAGGTTATAGAGACATGGAGAAAATATCTAGCTGATGGAGAAAAATAACGTTTTATTTGTAAAATATTCAAATTATTTAGGCAAAGGTAATGTTACTTTTTCTTTTTCTTTTTTTTAACGATCATACCCTTTCCCTCCTTAAACTCTGCTATTCATTCCAAATGCTCATAGTACTAAAGCTAAATTTCCAGAACATAAGGCCCTTTGCAAATGCAACCTTTTAGTCACATCGCATCACTCTTTTCCCCACCTTTCACCACTGAATTTCTCACTGTTCTCCCATTTTGTTCAGACACAAGCTGAAAGTGACACATTCAAGATATTTAATATTCACTTCATTTAGGTCCTTTGTCCACCTTTCCCTTCTATGCTTTTCTTCACTTTACTTTCTTCATCGAATTGTCTACCATTACGAAATATAAAAGAAATGAAGGAGGGAAACTGCAAAACACACAAGGGTTTCATTTGGGGAGGTAAACCTCTTATCACTCTGGTCAGCCTAATTGGTCAAATCCTCGAGGGTAGGGCCGATTTTTTCTTAACGGTATCCAACATCTATGAGAGGTTCAGTGAGTGGCCATTCAGATATTAATTCTCCCCCTCCCCCTCTTCCTCTCCTTTGAGAAACCTGGAAAATAGAAAATCTTCCCACGGAAACTCCTCAGGGTCGCGCCAACATCGAGGCTTGCGCACTGGGTCTCGGCCGGTGGCACAGCCCCGGCTTGCAAGTCCGCAGGGTCTCTGGGCAGAAACCCAGCGCGGGCTTCTGGATCGACCGCGCGCGCGTGCGCGCTCCTCCCTCGGCCCCCTACCCTGCAGCAAGGGGAGCGTGACGTAATGCAACCTCAGCAAGTCAGCCGCTATATAAAGGAGGACTAGGCGGCGCGCCTCCCAGACGCAGAGTAGCTTGTGATTGGCTCGAGCTGCGGAACCTCGGAAACCCGAATGTGAGGAGCTTACGGATCCACAGCTGCCGCCCCCCGCAGAAATCCGGAGCGCGGTCAGAAGCCAACTGGCGGTAGCGGCTGCAGGTAAGGAGACTCCTGAGGAGAAAGTAGAGGGACTCGGGTCCGCTGCGCTCAGTGTCGTTAGCGTGAGTTGAGGAGAGGCTCCCACCCAGCGTGTAGTGTAGGACGAAGGGAACAATGGAAGTGGCGTCTAGTCCCTAAGCGTTCCCTCCCCCTCGGGCAGACAGTGTTTCTCCTCAGCAGCAGCGGGTGGCTGGAGGAATTGAGAGAATTACTTCCCCCTCAGCCGATCCGTTCTTCCCCAAGGCCAGAGCCCCCGGGGGCGAGAGCCGTCGTGGAGGCCGTCGGTGGTTTAGGGTGACGGGAAAATGGCGGAAAACAAAACAGTGAAGTGAAGAATGCGGCGGCCCCCTGGCATTTTCTCTCGGCGACCCCAGCCCCGCAATATTCCTCTCGGTTGCACTGCCCCTACCTCGCCCCCGCCCCCCGCCTGCCGCGAATGGTAACCTTGGAACGCGCGAGGGATGGCGGCGTTTGCGAGAAGGTGGCACCGAATCGGGCATTTTAGGGGCTAGGGAGCCGTCAGAGCCTGGGGTGGGGGTGGGGGGCCGTGTGCGGCAACTGTCGCCTCCGTTAAAACACCACCATTTTGGTTCCCAGCCGCCGTCTCCCGTGTAGCGGGGCAGAGGTAGCAGGAGGAGGATGAGGGGTTGGGCAGCACGGCGTGGGTAGCAGCGGTGGCGACCGCTGCACCAAGTGCGGGAGGAGGGGTAAGGGTATTCTTGTTTCTTCGCTCTCTTGACTTTCCACTGCGAAGGTTCTCTTGTTTGGTTGAAGATCCAGGCAGATGGGTAATATATGGGAGGGCACATGTGTGCATTCTGCTCAAAATGATTGAAACTTGGCATGATCATGAGAAAGGGAGACTTCTGCGGGAAGAGGGCTGCGTCCAAAGCTGCAATACTGCTACTTGCCAGGGCTCCTTTGTCTCCTATCTCTGCTAATACTACTTTCACATTCTCTTGCTCTGCCGCCTTAGGATTTCTCTCCTGTCCTTCACCCTATTTACATTATTGAGAAGCTAGGTCCTGAGTGAACTATGTTTAGAGGAGACGAGGAGACAAATGAGAGTAAAATGTGGGGGTGGGGTTGTCTTGTTTTGATTTTTGTTTTGTGATTTCTGCTCCCCACATATTTATGGAAAGATGTTTACTTGAAGAGTGCTTGGTGGGTACCTCCATTCAATAAGGATGGGAGATACACTCTTGAGAAGACTGAGAAGCCTAGCTATCTATTGGCTGTTGAATCCTTAACACACTGCTGTTCTCATACCTCATTCATTATTGATCTTATTGAAACTTCCTATATGGGAAAAAGGTGCTCCAATTTATTTATTTGGTATTCTTGCAGTGTGATACTTCCCGTAATAGTTGCACTGTGTGTTAAAATTTTTACACTTCATTGAGCACTAGTGCAGATTTTTCTCTATGAATTTGGCAAGGGTAACGCTTGCCCTTGGTTGGTTCTCTTTTACTTTCCAAAATAAGGTATTGCTAGTGATTATTAAAATATGCTTTAGGGAAGATTTTGGTTTAACCAGGTGGTCGAATTCTAAGTGAAATAACGTTGCTTATGTCGTTTTAGGTAGTTGTTTCTGTTGCAATCCCTTCGGTTGCTTTTTGGATTAGCAGTTTTGAGCATATGAACCCTTCCTAATCTCACCCTGAACATTAAAGTGTAAAGAAAAATTCTTAAGTTGTGTAAGAGATTTGGTTTAAAATGTTTTAAAATATCTAATTGTGAATGTATTTTTACAATAGGTAAAAAGAACGTTTTTCCAAAGAAAGTAATGTAGTTCAGAAGGAAAAATAACAAAAAGAAAGTGCTGCAGATTTTATTTTACAATATGTAAGAAAATCAACAGTTTCTTCAGGATACTCATATTAAGGTGATTAACAAATTACTTAATGTTTTATCTTTAATAATTAAACAAAATTAAGTGTTAAAACATTTTAAAGACATCTATAATTGTTCTATTAGTTATGTGATAAAGCAATTACTCTAATTAAATTTGGAATAGTATACTGTTTTAAATGTTAAAAATAAGTCCTTATGGCATTTTAATTTATCTCTCTGAAGCCCCAGGTAGTTTATTGTGAACTCTCTTGGCCCCTCTTGACTTCATTTTGAAGGCAGAAAATAATGTGGTATTTGAAAAAATATAGAGAAATATAGCTAAGAGTTTCTAAAAATTTGTAATTTTGCTCACACATGAAGTAATTTTGTTAGAATCATTTTAATATACAGATAAATAACCTACTGCTGTAGGATTTTGATATACATGACTCAAATGTTAATAAAGATTACTCTGTGAGACTTTCTTGCCTCTTTTACACCTATCAAATTTTGAGACAAGGGAAAAAATCTTAGTGATCTCTGGTACTTAAGGATAGATTAAGTTGTCTTACATGGCAGCTTTCTAAAAGTTTCTAAAACTTAATGATGCAACCTCATCTTTTGTGTGGTATAGCCCAATTTATTAAACATTCCTAACTAAAAATGAGGAAATGTTTTATAAAATTGACAGACTTTTTGGTTGATTTACTTAGAATCTTATGTTTGAAAGCAAAGTATACATGTAGTTGTAAGAAATACGTTGAGTTACAGAACCTGACTTTAGGTTCCATACGATCTGGTGATCTTAAATATAGGATAAGTCATTTGAAATGAAATAGGTTGAGCCCTTGCTTTCAAAACTAGCATGAGGCTAGTGTGACTTTATTAATCATTAATGAAAAAAATTAGTCATACAATTACAAGTAAAAGATATTCTGAAAGAACCAATTTACTAAATGTTTGTATGTGATTGATCTTATCTCCACTATATTTAGGAAGCAGTCATGTTTCATGAGTCCTCAAAACTGTGAGACAAGAGAATGTAGTAGAATAAGGCCAGACGTCCTTACTGGCTCAAAGAACTCCAGGGAAACTGGGATAGAACATTTTACATTATAAGTAGAACCCCGGGAGCCAGAGGTGAAACACACGTTTATCTGCAGAACTACGCTGCAGAGCTGAGCTGGGTCTGGAAGAAATGGATGAGAGCCACTGGATGAAATTCACTAATACTAGACACCTGAGTCCTCTAGTAATGTATAAATATCCCAACTATTGCCTGTTGTCATCTTGTTCTCTTTTTTCTTCTTATTTAATAACATTTTAAGTGGAACCTCAGTGCTACAGTTTTGTTCTTTTGCTTGCTTCTTTCACTTCCCTATGGCTCATCACCCTTACTGTGCTTATTCTCCATTATCTTTGGTTTACTTCCATTTGACCCTTCTTTTATTTATGGTTGTCACGTAAAGCATCTAATCAAGGTTTTTGCTTGTTTTGTTTTCCTTTGTAATAAGATTTGCACACCTGGTTGAGAGGCACATTTTCAATTGCATCATTTTCTCAAAGCAACTGACTTTGGCCTAAATGTATTTAAACTATTTTTAAAACCGTTTCTTTTACAGAGATTTGTGAATGAACTTTGCTAAGTATGGATTCAGGTGGTGGAAGTCTTGGATTGCACACATCAGACTCTAGAATGGCACATACCATGATTATGCAGGATTTTGGTAAAGCATTTTCTTTGTTATATTTTTTCTTTCTTTTTTAAAAGTCAGAACATACTAAATATCAAAACTGTATTGGGGAAGGGGAGAAATTACAATGAAAAATTGTTCTTTTGCCAGGAAAATACATTTGTAGGGCTTATTTTCTTAAAGTAAGGCGATTTGTCAGTAGTCTAGATAAAATCATTCTTATAATTTTGTGGGAAGGTTGAGGTAAGGAAACTTGGAATATAGTGGTAATATGTCATTGGAAATGAAAAACTCAGTTTGCATAAATACCTGCATCAGTTCTCATGTGTAGGAAATATTAAAATATAAAATACATTTTAAGTTGCATTGTTAATAAAGCTGAAAAAGGAAGTACTTCAGTCATTTCAAAGAAGTTAGTTAGATGCTTATATAGTGATAGAGGAATATCTTGCATTAAGTGATTAATTATATTCTGATGCCATATCCTCAGAAAGTTGTTACTAATAGCATTACCTTTTTATTTTTTTTAAAAAAAAATTCCCTACTTTTGTGGCCAAGTTTTTCAGTAGCCTCTTAACAGTAGTCATTTTGATGAAGATGATAAGACTCGCTTGACAGTCAACAAAGAAACTGAATTTGGACAGGTTCAGTCTGAATGATAGAAGAGAGAGGTATCTGAAGTGTAAGAGGTGGGCATAGAGTGGTAAGAATTAAAGAAAAGATCAGAATGAGAGTAAAAAAGATAAATGGTAAATTGGGACCAAAAGTAAACAGAAACATGAGATACTGTGGAATTGTTAAAGATGAAATTAGGAATGGGGGATTACAACAAGTGATACTTTACTGAATTAAGAAAATGCTCCTACTGTTTTCAGATAATATGGTTGAATATGTTATTTTGTCCTCTGTTGTAAAGCCCACAGTAATGAGAGCCAGAAGAACTAGATTCTAGTCTTGGCAGGCCTATTAAATTATCTGTGTAAATGGGCAAATTACATATTTCACTTTTATGAAGGGGTTGGACTAGAAAACATTTAATGTCCTCCCCAGTTCTCTGATTCCTTGACCTTTCTGTCTGATGGTAAAGGTGCAATGCGTAGATTAAGATTTAATATGGTGGGAATCGAGATGACTGTGTAGTTCATGAAATAGAAAGGAATTATGGATTTATTCTGCTGAAAGAGTCAGAAGTGAGTTGTGTTGATTATTGATGACTTAGAAGTGATTTTATGTGAAAAAAAAGTATAGGAATAAACTCTAGAAGAAGGACAAAAGGCTGAAGCATAAGAGATTTCACAAATAATTTTGTGAATTCTTCACTAGAGATAGTTTTTCAAATTCTGGAACACTTGAAATTCAGTGTGATAAATTAAGTTTTGGTTGAAATTTCAACTTTAATTTTTTACCTTTTAAAAGTAAGATATTTTTAAATGGAAGAAAGGCAGTATTTTCTCCATTTAATACAAAATATTACCTACCCTGTAGTATCTGGTAAAGTGCCAGAACCACCCTCACTCCTGAAGAAGTTGCCCATTGGCAAGTAAAACTTGATTCATTTCAAAGAGTGAAAAAAATGTCTGATTGGTGCTGGTGAATATTTGCTTGGTGTTCCTCTTACCTTTCTTTCCACTGTTCCTCCTCAATGTCTTGAGGTTTAATTAATCCCTTATTTATCTAATACTAAGCTTTCCAAATTCTAAAAATTGATTAGAAATTAGATACATTCTCTTTAAATTTTTGCTAACATCAAAACTTAGATATCTGCAATGCCATAAATTAATTATACTTGTGAAACATAAGAGTTCAGCATACATAGGTAGACCTAGCCAAGTAAACACATTGTGTGGCTCAGGATCTCTAAATTCTGTAAGGTTTTTGGTTAATATGAAATGGCTACTATATTAAGAATCTAGAAACAATAAATGCCGGAGAGGGTGTGGAGAAAAGGGAACACTCTTGCACTGCTGGTGGGAATGTGAATTAGTACAGCCACTATGGAGAACGGTATGGAGGTTCCTTAAAAAACTACAAATAGAACTACTATATGACCCAGCAATCCCACTGTTGGGCATATACCCTGAGAAAACCATAGTTCAAAGAGAGTCATGTACCAAAATGTTCATTGCAGCTCTATTTACAATAGCCAGGAGATGGAAACAACCTAAGTGTCCATCAACAGATGAATGGATAAAGAAGATGTGGCACATATATACAATGGAATATTACTCAGCCATAAAAAGAAACGAAATTGAGTTATTTGTAGTGAGGTGGATGGACCTAGAGTCTATCATACAGAGTGAAGTAAGTCAGAAAGAGAAAGACAAATACCGTATGCTAACACATATATGTGGAATCTAAGAAAAAAAAATGTCATGAAGAACCTAGGGGTAAGATGGGAATAAAGACACAGACCTACTAGAGAATGGATTTGAGGATATGGGGAGGGGGAAGGGTAAGCTGTGACAAAGTGAGAGAGTGGCATGGACATATATACACTACCAAACGTAAAATAGATAGCTAGTGGGAAGCAGCCACATAGCACAGGGAGATCATCTTGGTGCTTTGTGACCACCTAGAGGGGTGGGATAGGGAGAGTGGGAGGGAGGGAGACGCAAGAGGGAAGAGATATGGGAACATATGTATATGTATAACTGATTCACTTTGTTATAAAGCAGAAACTAACACACCATTGTAAAGCAATTATACTCCAATAAAGATGTAAAAAAAAGAAAAAGAATCTGAACTATTAATTTAATTGAGAAGTTTATTGGACCAGTTTCTTTTGAAGGATACTTTAGAGTTTAAATTTTACAGTAGTATGATTTATGTAATAACTTGTGCGTGTCTCAGTGTAATAGTTGCCCTTGGAATCTGTGCCATTGAATTTAATTGTTGTTTAAGTTTTTATTGCTGAAAAGAGTCCATATTGCTTTGGGACTTAAGTAGCAGAAAACCTTAGATGGTGGCCCAAGATGGACCCAACAAATACCAAATTTTATGCTGTCCTGGTGAAATTCCAGGTATTCACATTTAAATTAAATAACTTTAGTAAAAAAGGAAATGCTTGAAATAATGACTTGTTTCTTACTGTTATCTGGTTATCTAATTGATTTCACACTTTTTAAAAGTTCTTCATATCATTTATAATTTGCTACCTAGTGAGATAAATTTTAATGCCCTTTAATGTTGCTTATTAAATGCCTTAAATTTTAAACGAGTGACTCTATGGTAGGTCTTCTTATTCTTTCTCTTTCAAACTCTTCCTTTAGTAGTTACTCACTTGATTAGCCCTATAAATTCCTTAAAAAATAGTCTCTAGAATAAGTAAATTCTATTCTCCTCATTTAGGCAAGTTTAAAAAAAAAGCCAGTCTGGAGTAAAACAATGAGTTCAGTTCCCAGCTTGAACCTTGGGCAAGGTTATTTATTTATTTATTTATTTATTCATTTATTTATTTATTAACATCTTTATTGGAGTATAATTGCTTTACAATGGTGTGTTAGTTTCTGCTTTATAACAAAGTGAATCAGTTATACATATACACATACCTCCATATCTCTTCCCTCTTGCGTCTCCCTCACTCCCACCCTCCCTATCCCACCCCTCTAGGTGGTCACAAAGCACGGAGCTGATCTCCCTGTCTGTGCTATGCGGCTGCTTCCCACAGCTATCTATTTTACATTTGATAGTGTATGTATTTCCATGCCACTCTCTCACTTTGTCCCAGCTTACCCTTCCCCCTCCCCGTATCCTCAAGTCCATTCTCTAGTAGGTCTGCGTCTTTATTCCTGTCTGGGCAAGGTTATTTAATCTCTCTAAACCATAGTTTGTTCATATTTAAAATGGGGATAATAACACTCACCTTATTACAGAGTTCTGAGGCTTAAATGAGATAATATATGTAAAAGTATTAGGTTGCTTGGTGCATAGTACTCAATAAATATAGCTAGAGTATAGCTAAAATAAGTGACTTTGTTTAGAAAGTCAGTGAAATCTAACAGATGAGTTGATAAGAGGAAAGTGCAAAATTTAATAAAAGACATCTTGGATCTTGGTCTGAGTAATGTGCCAATACCCTGTGAGGAACCCATTAATTCTTGGTCTAAGATCCTTAAATTATTTAGTTCAGGGCAAACAAGGATGTTTGGATTTTTTTTGGTTTAGATCTGATTTATTTTGACCTGTAATTTCCTGCTAGAGTTAAAGACTAGGTAAACTAAAAAACACTTATTCCTTCTTCTTAGAACCCTCCCAAACAGATTAATCTGAACCCAAGCCAGCACTAGCATTATTCTATCCTTCCATCCTTCCCTAGTGTCTATTCTCAGAAACCAAACTACTCTCCAGCAATGTTCTAAAATAAATGAGATTTCCCATATTTTAAGTCTAACTTATGAAAAGATTTTATAAAATACTAATTTCATTGTTCATATACATAGAATTGCAATCCTGTGAATTTTATAGGGTTAACATTTAACTTTTCCCTGGTAAAAACCATATTTCCAGTCTGGTTGAATACTAAATTTGAACCCTCACCTTCTCCCTGTCTCCAAAAATGGCCAGTGGAGTAACAAGTGAATAGAAAGTACTTGTTCTGTACGTACTCCCTTTGTCTACCAGATTTTCAAGGTTGAGGCTGTGTCCTTTTGGGTAATATGGTGGTTTAGGTGAGAGTTTGAGAATAGTGAGAAGGCTACAGAAGGGTTGAAAGGAATATAATCCTGAAAGGCAGCTTTTCCCTTCTCACCTTATTTTTTGATGTGTTAGGGTATTAGTAGTGTTTACTGGTCTCCATCCTAACTTGCTGACAAACTTCCATAATGAATTGGTTAATAATAGTGAACAGTGTATAACAAATGGTACTCTTTCAGGTATTACTGTATAGAAAGTGATCATTATGAAGAAAAGGCTTTGTGCTGGATTATTTCATGTAGGTAATTTTGTTGTAACCTGGTCCACAAACTCTGTTAATTTGTTTACTATACCACCTCAGGGAGAATGTAACAGAATTACTTATGAAGGAATTTTACACTCTTACAGTATTTACAAGGAGGGTAGGAGTTGGTGTTTACCGTGCTGCTCAAGAAAAACGTTATTTAAAACTTTATTCCTGCAGATTTACTAATTTAGAATTTAATGCAATTTAGAGTTTGTATGTATGTTTTTTAAATAAACCAAATCTTTGCCTAAAATGAGTTGGTTCTTTTTCTCCTCAAATCAGATGTTAAAGGATGCTTTCCATTTTTGAATATAGTAATTCTTGTACAATAAAGAAGTTCAGGGACTTTTATGTTTATAATATGTATTTCTAATGTATTAAGCTTGTCATATTTTATTAACTCAATTTAACATATTAGCAACCTTTTATGTTTGTGTGCCCTTTTTATTTTAATTTTAATTTTTTGAAATGTTAAACTCACAGGAAGTAGAAAAAATAGTATATAGGGTCCTGTATACCCTTTACTCATCTTCCTCCAATGGTGACATCTTTATAATAACTGTAGTACAGTATCAAAAGCAGGAAATTAACATTGGTACATTATTGTTAATGGGACTACAGATCTCATTCAGTTTTCGCCATTTGTGTGTGTGAGAGTGTATATAGTTCTATGCAGTTTTATTTCATATATAGATTTGTGTAGACACCACCACAATGAAGATACAGAATGGCTCCATCTCCATATATATGCTATGCCAAAATAGTCACACACACCCCAACCCTTGGCAACTGCTAATCTGTTCTCCATCTCTATAGTTTTAGAATTTTGAGAATGTTATATAGATGATTCCATTTATACATTATACAGTACAGTAACCTTTGGTAATTGACTTTTTTCATGCAGCATAATTTTCTAGCAGTTGATTCAGGTTGTTGAATGTATCAATAGTTTTGTCCCTTTCTTTATTGCTGAGTAGTATTGCATAGTAAGGATGTGCCAGAGTTGGCTTAACCAACCATTTACCTGCTAAAGGACATTTGAGTTGTTGTATTTTTGTTTTTTGCTACTAGAAATAATAGCTACTATGCACTGTTATGGATATTTATGTATAGCTTTTTGTGTAAACATATTTTAATATCTGTGGGAGAAATGCCACAGAGTACAGTTGTTAGGTTGTATTGGTAAGCACATGTTTTTATAAGAAACTGGGCAAATTATTTTCCAGAGTGGCTGCTGCCATCACGTATGAGAGATCCAGTTTCTCTGCATCCTCACCAACCTGTGGTGTTATTGTTTTTTATTTTAGTTATTCTAATTGGTGTGTAGTGATATCTCATTGTAGCTTTTTTTTTTACTTGAAAATAAAGTACATTATTTTTAAGGTCTTAATTTAGATTTTACTAATATTGTTTTCACCCATCTCCACCCCAGTTCCTGGTTGGTGATGATTTTTATTACAGTTAAATTGTCAGTGGTTCTTTAAAATGATAGTTTGCCCAGGACTGTTTCATATTTAAAAACTATTTTATGTCATCTGATATATACATACAGTACTTTTAATTAATAAAATAACTTTACTTTTTTTGGATAATTGTTTGTATTGTAGTGGCTGGAATGGCTGGTACTGCGCATATCGATGGAGACCATATTGTTGTTTCAGTTCCTGAGGCTGTATTAGTTTCTGATGTTGTCACAGACGATGGGATAACTCTTGATCATGGCCTCGCAGCTGAAGTTGTCCATGGGCCTGATATCATCACCGAGACTGATGTAGTAACAGAAGGTGTAATTGTTCCTGAAGCCGTACTTGAGGCTGATGTTGCTATTGAAGAAGATTTAGAGGAAGATGACGGTGATCACATCTTGACGTCTGAGCTAATTACAGAAACTGTTAGAGTACCTGAGCAGGTTTTTGTGGCTGACCTTGTTACTGGTCCTGATGGACACTTAGAACATGTGGTCCAAGATTGTGTCTCAGGAGTTGACTCTCCCACAATGGTATCAGAGGAGGTTCTTGTAACTAATTCAGATACAGAAACTGTGATTCAAGCAGCTGGCGGTGTTCCTGGTTCTACAGTTACTATTAAAACTGAAGATGATGATGATGATGATGATGATGATGATGATGATGTCAAGAGCACTTCTGAAGACTACTTAATGATATCTTGTAAGTGAAACTTAAAGTCCATAATTACTTGGTAGAAACTGATTTATGTATAACACCGACAGGTTTTCTAAGATGGGGATCTATTCAATAAAAGTCATGGGGGTGATCTTTTTGAAAAATAATTTTTTTCAAAGCTGTGTTGTTGAGATGCTTTTTTGAATTTGTTCATGTTTTTAATTTATGAAAATTTATACCCACAATGGAGTAAAATAATGCAATTTATTAATATCTTAGAACAAAAATACAGATTTGGAAGGTTCAAAAAGAACATTAAGTGACGCAATATTTTAATGGTAAATATATATATTTCAAAATGGGAAGTTTATTTCATGCAACCACTGCTTTCTTTTTAATATGACAGGTACTGGAGATGTCAGTTCAGTTTTGCTTAGGAGTTTAAGCATAGTATGTTAAGAAATGTGTGATTAGTTTTTTGAATTAAATACTTGAAAAGTAAATAATCAACTCAGATTGTGTTCTACAGTTCTGCCTGTGTTTGTTTTCTGTTGTCTATATATGTGTCTTTATAGTCCATGCAAAAATACTTTAAACATATTTATTTCAGACTGCTTTACGATGTCCTTAAGACATTCTATCTGAATGAGGAAGATAGAAATATCTTATTCTCATTTTAAGTGGTAAGTTTGCCTGAACAGCAACAATAATAAAAATCTCACGATAAGTTATTGATGGAGCTTGAGGAAGAAGTGGGTCTATTCTTTATAAAATTTGAAGGCATTCCTTTATTTAAAAAATCCCTTTAAAACTTAAATAATTTTTTATTTTAGAAAATAGAATATACAAAAATTAAATATTTTTTATATCATTCATTCTCTTGCCACCCAGATCCCTAACTTTTTATAATGGTTAGAATATTCAAATTGAGACTAGTTACTCTTTTTAACCATTTTCATTTATTTTATTTTATTTAGTTTTTCCCTTTTTTTCTTCATCACTTAATCTTTAATTCATTTTTTTACCTCTTGGTTTCTGTTGACCATTGAATCTTTCAGGAGTTAGAGAATAAATTGCCTTGAAATGTCTCAATGGTAATTTTAAAAGTCCTCTGTTTCTTTCCCAAGATATCTTCAAACTACTCAAGGGATAAAATTGAAGACTTAAAACAGACTGTTATCTTATTCCTAAATCCCTAACTATTCCTGTAAGGAAATCTTATCAGCAGCTGAGTTTGTCTTCTCTCAGTCTCTGAGGTGCATCTGAGATTTTTCCACTTTCAGACCAAATGTCACAATTTCTTTATCTTAGCAGTTGGTTAGGCTCTTCCACTTGTGCTAAGTAACTTGGAAATTAATATAGGATAACTGTATCTGTCTAAAGTTATCCCAGGTGTGCTTTTCTTTAAAAATACCTAACACTCTCAAAACATTTCTGGGTGATGATTTGCTTTATGAAAAGCTTCACCGGAGAAGGGAGGTTCCTTTAAATAATGAACCAATATAATGCATTCAAATTATTTTTTTTTACCTATAAAATCAGTTTTTATTTCTTCCAGGAAAATAATTTTGTATAAAGCAAAACATATTGGTAGGGTCATTATGGGAGCGGTCATGAAACCTCACCAATTTCAGGGGTAAAAGAGAAAAGTTAATACCTTTGTATTTTTTTTTTAGTATAATAGCTTTATTGAGATATAATTCACATGCCATACAATTCATTCATTAAAGGTGTGCAATTCAGTGGTTTTTCATATATTCACAGAATTGTATCACCATCACCATAATCAATTCTAGAATTTTTCTTCCCCCCAAAAGAAACCCCCATACCCTTGAGCAATCACCCCTGCCACTCCATTCACCCCTCAGGCAACCACTAATCCAAATTCTTTCTCTCTAATTTGCCGGTTCTCAACATTTCATGTAAATGGAATCATATAATATATGGCCTTTTGTGTCTGGCTTCTTTCTCTTAGTATAATGCTTTCAAGGATCATCCATGTTGTAGCATGCATCAGTCCTTCATTCCTTTTTATTAATGAGTAATATTTCATTATATGGATATACAGTTTATTTATCAGTTCATCAGTCGATGGACATTTAGGTTGTTTCCACTTTTTGGCTGTTATGAATAATGCTGCTCTGAACATTCATGTACAAGTTTTTGTGCACATAGGTTTTCAGATGTCTTGGATATATACAGCTGGGAATGGAATACCTTTGTAATTTAAATATTACTAATTTTTGTTTGTTTCATCATTGCATAATACGGATCCATTACACATTGCCTCACCCCATCCCTGTGGTACATCAATACAGAGTTGACCCTTGAACAACACAGGTTTGAACTGTGTGGGTCCACTAATACAAAGATATTTTTCAATAAATATATACTGCAGTGTCACATAATCTGAGGTTAATTGAGTCTGCAGATGCGGAACTATGGATACGGAGGGGCAACTGTAAAGGTATACATGGATTTTCGACTATGTGGAGAGTCAGTGCCCCTAAGCCCTGCATTGTTCAAGGGTCAGCTGTAGTCTATACTGATGTCATATTCACCATATAATTTTGGTAGATGTAACATGAAAGGGGTACAGTAAAAAGCCTACTTAGTGTTTAAAAGAAATATTATACTGTACATTTTGCTAAAATGAAATTTTAATCAAATTGTACCAATGGGCTATAGAAGAATATTGAACGATAGCAAACTTTGTAGGGTTGGCAAATAATGCACCTTACTGTTTTTTTTTTTAAATTTTTATTGGAGTATAGTTGCTTTACAATGTTGTGTTAGTTTCTGCTGTACAGTAGAGTGAATCAGTTATACGTATACCTATATCCCCTCTTTTTTAGATTTCCTTCCCATTTAGATCACCACAGAGCACTGAGTAGAGTTCCCTGTGCTATACAGTAGGTTCTCATTAGTTATCTATTTTATACACAGTAGTGTATATATGTCAATCCCAATCTCCCAATTCATCCCACCCCCGTACCTTACTGTTTTAATGTTATATTTAGCACCAGTAGAATTCTGCGTTTTATATACTATTACCCACTTATCACTGGCTGGGATGTCATGTGGGTTGGGAAACAACACCGTGGGACTTGAATGTTGTAAGCCTTATAACAAAAAGGTTAAGCTTGAATTTTGGGTATTTTGAGTATTATCTGTAAAGAAGAGTCTTTGAGGATCTATTTCTAAAATCTGTTGATTGCCTGTTAAATCTTTGTTAACTTTGTACTTTCTATAACAAAGGGTATAGAATAAATCTTGGTGAAGTTGATGGTTTATCTCTTAAAACTGTACACTAACATATTTAATAACTTTATCATCTTCTATGAACTTAAAATACAGAACAAGTTTAATTACTCAATACATTTCAAAATTGTTCATTCTGAGGAATCTAATTAAGTAGAAAATAATGGATGCATTAAACTGTGGACCTCGAGGAAAGGTGTAAATGGAATCAGAATAGCACCAGTAATTTCAATACTTAAAGCAAAAATTATGGTACAAAACTTTTGAGAAATGACCAAACAAATGTCTATTTCATTTCATGAGCTTTAGTTTTGTGAATTACAGTTTTAATTCAGTTTATCCCAGGAGGAACTCTGATTACTTTTAACCATTGAAGTGTAATAAAGTAGTATTTATCAGATGAGAGTATTTTTTTCATTAATTTACTGTTAGTCCAACCTAAGAAATTCATATTTTGGACACTTTTTGAGTGTTTTATATCCTATGTCTTTATTTCCAAGAATGAGATAGTACTTTTTTTCTGAAGACTTAACTTGCCTCTTAATTTTTTTAATGATCTCATTGTTTTATTCAACGTATTTTAAAAGATAGGCTGTTAAAAACCAGTAATATCAGATTCTTCCTCATCCTTTTTTCTTTCATTTTAATCTGTCCCATTGTGAAAAAAATATTTGCCAAAAAAGTACTAACAGAATTAGGTTTATGATGGAATGAAAATATTTTTTTCTGTTTATTTTGATCATTTAGGTACTCTCTTTCATAGACAATAAACTATTTGAACTCTTAAATAATGTGGAATCATTTATATTTAACCACAAAGTTAAAGTAGTTTTACATTGTAAGAAGAATTTCTGAAATTCTGGTGTTTTCACCATTTTGAAAGGCCAAAGGAATATTTTTGAATTTGCATGTATCAAATTTGAAACTGAGGTAGAGAAAATCTAGACTTTGACCCATTTAGATCTTACTGAAATTCATATTTTAAGAGTACTGAGTTAAAAACTTTTTAATGTCACTTTATTCTGTTTTCAGTAGCTCTGGAATTGTTTAGATATAGTCAAGTCTTCATGATTTTGTTTCATATATGATACTATGATACATATAGTAGGGAGGAGCAGATTTTCAGTTTAGGTTACATTTCAGTTTTTATGGGGACAGGACAAGCATTGAAATAAAAAATGGTAGGCATATAATCTTTGGGGGAGTATATTGTTTAATATTTATGTTCAAAGAGCAAACTTTATGAATATAATGTATTCATTGCATAGTTTATGCACAGTATTCACTTGAAACTAAATGCTATTCTTAAAGAATCAAATTTTTAAGTATACTTAAAATGTAAGTAATTATTGTTGCTTTATTTTATATATGATTTGAAGCAAATCATACAATGGTAAACCTGGAAGTATACAAAATTTCTGATTTGAAGTAGCCTTCCATTGACTCAACAAGAATTAAAAGTATTTACTAAGATTTTATTTTCATGATTTCTGAAAAGCCCTTTTTATAAAATAATTCAAGTGTTTTCTATTTTCTCTTTTTTAAATACTAGATTTTATATGTTAATTGGTTTTAGATATACTGCTATTTAATTTGGGAATTGTTTATGTCAGCTTATTTCATGAGTACTATATATTTTATGTTGTAATTTTTGTTATTAATTTTGGTGTTAGGATTTAGCTTAAAATGTTGAATGTAATGGAAGATTATTTAATCTTTTCCCAAACCACTTTAATTAAAGCTGTATGGTTAAGAGTATTTCATATACATAAATTGAAATCTGTGATTATGTCTTTTATATAATTACGATCATGTAGTATATCTGTCTTGTATACATTTTTTCATGAAATATACCACTCTTAATGGTTGCATAATAGGTCATTAATTGAATATAGTGGGTAGGTGGTTAACACATTATTTCACATTGCACTAATACTTAACACCGACTAAATGTCAATGGTACTTTTTGACTGAAACAGTTTCCCGTTTATATTTTACAGTGGATGATGTTGGGGAAAAATTAGAGCATATGGGGAACACACCATTAAAAATCAGCAGTGATGGTTCACAAGAAGATGTTAAAGAAGATGGATTTGGTTCAGAAGTAATAAAAGTGTATATATTTAAAGCTGAGGCTGAAGATGACGTTGAAATAGGTACAAATAATAATTTTAATTTATTGCTATAATGGTTAGGAATTAGAACTTCTCTTTTCTGGAGACTAAGTTCTAATATTGCCTTCAAAGTGCAACTCTTATAAAAGGTTTCTTTGGGGATGGAATATTTAAAAATTATATATAAATATAAATCACGGATAGAGAACAAGTCATCTTAGATATTTTTAAACTTGAGTAGAAGATTCCAGTTGAAATTTCAAAACATATGAGTGGAGGGGATTTGGTTTAGAGAAGGAAATTATGAGTATTTAAGGGCAGGCTAGAGGCAGGGTGCTTTGGATTTTAATCCTAGTTCTTCCATTTAGCTGAGTGGTCTTTGGTGAATTACTTAACCTTCTTCTGCCTCAGTTTCCTCATCCATAAAATGGCCATAATGGTAGTAACTACCTTATAATGCTATTGTGAGGATTAAATGGGTAAATACATGTAAAAGACTTAAATAGTGCTTGGCATATACAAGTGTAATGTAAGTGTTAACATTTGTTGTTATTTCTTAGTGATGACTGAAAATTTAAAGTGCAATTTATAAGAAAATTCTCTTGACACTTAGAACTTTATGTTTGAATATTTGAGGGGGAATATTTTTCTAAAGGAAAATATTTTTATGTATCCTTCTTATTAATTTAGGGAATTATTCCATGATACTTACTGATTTTGATACATGTTTTAACTTTTAAGGTGGAACGGAAATTGTCACAGAGAGTGAGTACACCAATGGGCATTCTGTAGCTGGAGTGCTTGACCAGAGCCGAATGCAGCGGGAGAAGATGGTTTACATGGCAGTTAAAGATTCTTCTCAAGAAGAAGACGATATCAGTAAGGAAAAAAGGCACTGTAGTGACTTATCAGTAGTCATCATGCATTCTTAAAAAAAAACAATCTCATATTCAAGCACTACATAGGAACAAAGTTCAATAAAATAAATCTGACCCTTCTCTATAATTAATTTAAAGGAAAAGGGTCCTTTTGACAATCCGTGCATGCATGTATTGTTCAAATGAGCAAACGTAAAATACTGTGTCTGAGATACTAGGGATACAGAGATCAGCTAAATATGGTTCCTGACTTTAGGATAGCCCACAAATATGTAGGGAATTACTGAGAATCTACTTTGTGTGTGTTATTGAATATGTTGCATATGTATTATCTCATTTAATTCTCATAATTCATCTCTGAGGTAGGTGGTATTAGCCCTGTTTTATGGAAGGAGAAAGTGCTCAGGGAAATTAAGCAGTTGCCCAAGGCCATTCCAGTATTAAATGAGGAAGATAGGATTTGAACTCATGTCTGCCTAACTCTGCTGTCAGTAATCTTTGTACATGGCAGTGAGCACTGTTGAACTCTCTCTGAATTTAGCAGTAGAAGGGCTAGCTGTTTGTTTTCCTTCTGCCACTGAGAGATTAGCTGAGTAAGTATTCTTCCAAGTCAAGCCACCAGGATTTTTACTTATTATGCCGTTGATGGTCTCCAAGTAGTTGCTGTTTAAGGTTTCTTGCGGCTGAGTACCACAGGGAGTAAAAAGCTCCTCACATTTCCTTTCCTGCCATGGTACACATTTCCTTATGAAGATGTTTTACTTTCTTCCTACTTTCTCCTCACCTCAGTGTAGGAATGCAGCCCTTCCTTAAGGCTTTTTCTGTCTTCTTGCCATGCTGAGACAAAAACGACTTTGTTTTGCCCTAGAAGAGCAAGAGCCTCCACTTCAGTGCATTACCTTGATAATAGTTAGCTTTACCTATACTGCACTATGATCCCCACTCCTCAAATTTCCTCCCCTAGAAGTCATAGGGAGCTGAATTCCAATCCCAAACAAACATGAATAATATACCACAGCTGAAAATGTCAAAACAAATGAGTCTAGAGGATTTGGTTAGAGAGAAAAAGAATTAATTTCTATTTGGTCTCTAGATTATTTCTTTTCTGTTTTGCTCATTGGTCAGGAGACTGAAGGTTAGGTTAGCTGATGCCAGAATTCCATAAGGATGTGCAAAACTTAGACCAATGTTTCCTTCTGGTTAATTGAAAGAAGGGAAACCTAGGAGAAAAGGGATACTTTTTCCCCACATTTTTTCCACATTTTTCAGTAGTGAGTAGGGAATTCCCTAGTGGTCCAGTGGTTAAGACTCCATGCGTCCACTGCAGGGGGCATGGGTTTGAGCCCTGGTTGGGGAAGTTCCGCATGCCGCACCTCGCGGCGCGGCCAAAAAAAGAAAAAAAAATTTAGTAGAAAATCCCAGTATGTGAATCAAAGGAAAAGCATAAATTCAAGCCAATTTTCTACTTAACACTTCAAATCCAAATGGATTATTTCACATAAAATATACTTACTGACCTTCTAGGTTTAAATTCTTTTACACTAATACTATGTTTTTTTAAATGTCTCACTTAACGCTTTTGTCTTCAGTAGGGTCTCTGAAAATCCTGCCTCTTAATGGGTGTCCACATAGCCTTGAGCCACCAGCATTTTATATTATAACCATATATTATGGTTTTACTTTCATTTTTAATTCTTTTTCAATTACTAATATTTTTGACAATTTTTCACTGCATGTACAGTACTGCATTTAATTTACATGTGGGATAGCATGGACCGCTTTTTAGTACTGATTCTATGGGAAATGCTTTCTGAGTTCTGAAGAACTGTCAGGCAGAATTATGGAATACAGCTTTTCTTATAAATTCCTAATGCCCAATGGACTGTGAAATCAGTCAATATATTTCAAGCGCACATTTTATATAATCTAGAAGTCATTTTCGTAGGACTAGGTTTTAAGAGGAGGATAAGAACTTTGATAAATTACTGTCTCCTAGTGGCACCAGCCTGCGAAGTGCCTAATGTAATTTTTAAATTAACCAAATTGAAATCTTGAAAGTTGAAAGATAATCGTTTGGAAATTTTTACCCATTTATTAAATACTTGGGGTTATAAACAAGCAATTATTTCTAAAATTTAGGTTGCGCTGAAATAGCAGATGAAGTTTACATGGAAGTCATTGTAGGGGAAGAGGAAGGAACTTCTCTCCCTGAGACTCAGCTTGAGGACTCTGATGTTAATAAAACAATTGTCCCTGTTGTCTGGGCTGCGACATATGGTAGGACACTGGCATTTTTTCACCTGATAAGTACATAACATATCTATTTGATCAGCCTTTAGGTCATTAAATATGCTGTGCTAATGCCCCCATGAGTTGGCTAATACTATAAAATGTTTTGCTGTGGACTGATTCATCTCTAGTTACTTACATAATTTTTGTACCACATATCTTGTGTTATTTACAATGAACCTTGCTTAATGCATTTTGTTTTTCAGTAGGATTTATTTTAAATCCTACATGTATAAGTGAGTGCCATAAAAAGTTTTATTTTTCTAAAATAGGAATATCCTTTGAAAATTGATCCTTCCCCTTTTGGAAAAACTTATTTTATGTTTTAACACCACAAATAATAAGATATTGGGGTTTTGAAAAGGAACAGAAATCCAAGTGTGCTCTTCTAGGAAGTACGTAATGAAAGGTAAATTTATCAAGTTATTTTTTCCCTTTCTATTTTATCTCATTCTTACTTAATTTACAAGATGGTCCAGGTATACTCTTTACTTTGAAAAATTTTGTTGTTCAAATGCATTAATTTATCTTTACTTGGTTTTTCCAAAGGTTCATTCATTCAACAGTCATTTATTGAGCATCTTCAATTTTGAGGGTATTCTGCAGAAATATCTACCCAGGTTTTATTTGAAAAGTAAGGTTGTCCTAGATGTTAGTAGTTCAAAGGATGCTGACAGCAGCCCTTATTTTCAGTGTGTGATATTATCTAATCTATGGGAGTGGAAGAACTCAACAACAAAAAAGTTTAATCCAAGGAACGGTGATCAAAGTAAGATTTTGTAGATTAAGATGTGATCTACTAGTAATCATTATACTCAGTCTATCAGTTTTTAATTAGCCTTTTTTTTTTTAAGGAGATGAAAGAAGAGTTTCTCGAAGGTATGAAGATTGTCAGTCATCAGGTGAGAGTGCATTATATGTGAGATGTAAGTTAAGTAGCTGGTTTTGTGTACTGCTTGGTAGATACAGAGTTATTAGTTTGTGTGTACAGACCCATTTGTTAGACTCTTACTTGCCTGGTCATATCTAGTTAGTTAGAAGAGTTTACCTCCTTGGGAAATTGATTAATTTATATAGAGACATAGCGTGTGTTATTCTGTGAATGCAGTTCATTTTAGATTTACCTCGTGATTTCCCTGGTGGTCCAGTGGTTAAGACTCTGCCCTTCCACTGCAGGGGGGCACGGGTTTGATCCCTGGTTGGGGAACTAAGATCCCATATGCCACATGGCATGGCCAAAAAATAAAAAATTAAAATTAAAAAAATAGATTTACCTCAAGATACAAATATCAGGCCACTTACTACATGGGCCATAAAAAAGTTACTATGGAAAAAATTATAAAATAGAAATTACTCTGACATGAAAGTAAAAGTTGCCCATGATATCAACCACTTGTTAATGTCTTCCTTGGGATGGAACTATTTTTTTAATTTCTATGGCAACCAGTAGATTTATATAGCTGTTACATAAAGCTCATGTGTCAGCGTAAATTTTTCTTTTTTAGTTTTGATACACTTCATATAGTGTTATTTATTCCATGGTTGATAGTTCTTTTTATTTTCTTACACAAGGAGACTTTTTCTAATGATAAAGTGTCTATTTTGTTTCTATCTTTAGGAGGTATTTGACTCTCTAACTGTAGATTTCAGGGGAATTAATGAGAGGCATATATATCACAGCATTTAAGCTAAACAGTTTCTTAGGGCTACATTTTTAAACTAAATTGCATAACACAAGAGACTGTGAGAACTGAGATTTTATTAAGTACTTTATTCCATATACACTGATCCCACTGAAATTGCAGTAGATTGCCTGCCACTTTTATCTTAACACTTAAAAAAATCAATCTTAATACTTTTAACATTAAGTAAACTATTCTAAAGCATAAATGCAAGAAATCTGTTGTTTGTCATGTATTACAGTTACCATGATTGTACTGGATAACTGACATGTGTAAATTTCTTTGCTAAATCTCTTTAATTTCATCAGCCTTCATCAATGAGAAATTGATCTGATGTCAAGATTTTGTTTAGGATCATAAAATTCAGTTTCTTATGTTTCATTCACCTTATCAGTTTGTTCCTTTAGGATGAATAAATTGGGATATTTTAAAGTTACTTCCACATGGTATCGTATTTAAAGTATTTGCATATACACATGTGTGTGTAAGAGTATAAAAGAGAAGGAGAAGATGGGTGTACTTTGTGAAATTTAGTACTGCAATGGCAACTGAATGCCATGTCTTCTCTAATTCCTCTAACTAAAACCAAAAAAGTATAAATATATGTAGTTTAATAGTGTATCAATTTTTTTTCCAGGAAATACTTTGGACTCAACATTAGAAAACAGAAGTAGTACAGCAGCACAATACCTTCAAATTTGTGATAGCATTAATACAAATAAAGTACTTAAACAAAAAGCTAAGAAGAGGAGAAGGGGAGAAATGAGGCAGTGGCAAACAGGTAAAATACTAATACATTACTCGATGAATATTATAATTACTTGAAATGCAGTAGTATTTTTTGTAACCCAAGAATATGCCAGTTGTTTGTAGTGTAGTTAGTCCTACTCCCATGTACCTACTTGTGTTTGATCTAAATAGTTGGGGTTTTTTAAATGTTCTACTGGTACTTAATAAAACTGTGCTTGTTTGCTTTTTACCCAAATGATGTTTTTAAAGAGAATTTTCAGGTTGATTTAACAATAAAGGGTGCCTATTTCTAGTTTACAAAGTGCATGTGATATAGCATTTTGGCAGGTGAATAGTCTATAGTAGAGTGCTGCTCATTACTTTTTAGTGAGCTACTTTATTATAAATTGCTTTCAATGTGCATTTTATCTTACGGGATCTTATTCTACTAGTACAGTTCTCACATTGTGAATGTCAGCTAATTTTGCCGCCTTTGTGGTAAAACTTTAAAACAGTCTGGCCAAATTTCACAACTTCCCTGTTTTGTTTTGTTGTTGTTGTTGTTGTTTTTAATCTAGCTGTTATAATAGGTCCTGATGGACAGCCCCTGACAGTATACCCTTGCCATATTTGCACGAAAAAGTTTAAATCCAGGGGATTCTTGAAAAGACACATGAAGAATCATCCTGATCATTTGATGAGAAAAAAATATCAGTGTACAGATTGTGACTTTACAACTAACAAGAAAGTGAGTTTCCATAACCACTTAGAAAGCCATAAGCTTATAAACAAAGTTGACAAAACCCATGAATTTACGGAATACACACGAAGATACAGAGAGGCAAGTCCATTGAGTTCAAATAAACTTATATTAAGAGACAAGGAGCCGAAGATGCACAAGTGCAAATACTGCGACTATGAAACTGCAGAACAAGGACTGTTAAACCGACATTTACTGGCTGTTCACAGCAAGAATTTTCCTCATGTTTGTGTTGAGTGTGGGAAGGGCTTTCGACATCCTTCTGAACTCAAGAAGCATATGAGAACCCATACTGGTGAGAAGCCATATCAATGTCAGTATTGTGTCTTCAGGTGTGCAGATCAATCAAATTTGAAAACTCACATTAAGTCTAAGCATGGTAACAATTTGCCATATAAATGTGAGCATTGTCCCCAAGCATTTGGTGATGAGAGGGAACTTCAACGCCATCTGGATTTGTTTCAAGGACATAAGACACACCAGTGTCCTCATTGTGACCATAAGAGCACCAACTCAAGTGACCTTAAGCGGCACATCATATCTGTCCACACTAAGGATTTTCCTCACAAATGTGAGGTCTGTGATAAAGGTTTCCATCGTCCTTCTGAGCTCAAAAAGCATAGTGATATCCATAAGGGTAGGAAGATTCATCAGTGTAGGCACTGTGACTTTAAAACATCAGATCCATTTATTCTTAGTGGTCATATCCTTTCAGTTCATACTAAGGATCAGTCACTGAAGTGTAAAAGGTGCAAAAGAGGGTTCAGACAACAAAATGAGCTCAAAAAGCATATGAAGACTCACACTGGAAGGAAGATTTACCAATGTGAGTATTGTGAATACAGCACTACAGATGCATCTGGCTTTAAACGACATGTGATATCAATACATACAAAAGACTATCCACACAGGTGTGAATTCTGCAAGAAGGGATTCCGAAGACCATCAGAAAAAAATCAGCATATTATGAGGCACCACAAGGAGGCTCTTATGTAATAAGATCAATATAAAGAAAGAAGCTATTTAGAAAATACGACATGCTACATGGAAAGATAATTTCATGAACTGTTTCACCTGGTTACAAAGCTTGATATTAAATCATAAATTTACATTCTTTTTACTAAAGATCTTAAGATATTTGAATTGAGAGGGGATCTCATAGCCCTTTGAAATTAAAGAATTTAAGGAGCACCATAGAATGGTTGCAGAAAACCTTATTGTCTATTTAATAGTATTATAAGCATAATCCAGCTACAGGGGGCAAGAGCAAAGACAACCACTTTATTTGACTGATCATACTAGAGACAGATGTTTCTGAAAAGATCATATCTAATTGAGGAGTTTAGCAATGCTTTGCTATCGCAAGCGTCACTTTTATACCGTTTTAGAAATGGAGTGGGGAAATAAAATGCAGTCATCCATTAGTCACTTAGTCATTGAGCCTTTATATGGTACCTGGAAATTGAATTCCAGAAATGGCAAAAGTTTTGTGTATTCATCAAAAGAAATTTCACTGGAAAACAGGTTAGATTAATTCAATACTATTTAAAAGAATTTCAGAGCTGCTAAGATTTTAACACAGGATAGGATGTTTAAAATATAGCATTCTGTACTGAAGTCTAAAGATTAAAGTTCCCCTTTTTCTGATGTTCAAGTTGATTGTTGTTCAGTGTGGCATATATGACAGAAGTATATTTGAGTCAAATGTGGCTTTCTAAAATGGATGCAACAGTAATGTTGCAAAGTTAGCACTATATTTCTTAATGATCTAAAGATTACATTGAGAGAACACAGTTTTCTTAAATATTATGTTTAGAGGTTTTTTTAGGACAGTCATAGCAAGTATGATTGTTCTAGTCTTACTTGCTCTAATGTTTAAAGGTGCAATTTTATGCCATTATTGAAAATTTTGATTTTTAAAATCTATATACCATATTATTAACATGAATTTTCAATATGAGGCAGTATTTATGCGGTATTTAACAAAACACTATGCTGCCAATAGAACTTGGAGGTGGATATTCAGTTTACAGTGTATAAATTTAAAATATGCATCCCTTTAACAATGCTTCATGTTAGCATGCTGCAAATCAACATGGCGCTTAAAATAAAAAGCAGGTTTAGGGAAATTTAATGAAAATCCTGTTCATAAATGTAATGCATATGATGTGTATTTTTAAGTTTTAGTTGCTTCATGTTTACACTCATCTGTTAAACATAACTAAAATGTAATTTTACTTCATGCTATATTGTGGCTTTGTGTTTTAAATAATGTTCACCTTTCTGTTTTTGCACCAGATAGGAATCAGTTCCTTGAGAATAAATTTTTTATCTTTCTTAACTTCAGAATATTAAATTTGGAAATCTAAAATTGTGTGTCATGTGATTGTAAATGATGTACACGCTGTAAAATAAGATTGTCACTGTTATGTGGGATTATTATTTCTAAATGTTACTCATTGAAATGAGCATACAATAAAAAGCATTTATTGCACTTCAGGGTTTTATGAGTTTATTTAAAGTTGTGTTGCAGTGTCCCTCATTAAAAGACTTCACTTAAAATTGCTCTTAGGCAATTTTGTCTGCAGTTTAGCGTCTTGTAGGATTTTGTGCATTAACAACATGAGCTAGGAATTTAAACAATTATGATGACTATGGCATGATTATTCCTCAAAATTTTGTGTTTTTGCTAAAATCGTGATGGAATGCTTTAAAGTTGCCCATCTTAAGACTTGAGACTTAGTATTACAGAGGAAACTAAAAATTCTTAACCTGCTTAAGTAACACAATCCTGAAAAATGAATCTAATTATATTCCCAATAGACCAATATACATTCAAAAGGAAAAGTATTAAATCAAGTATTTGGGAAATATTTCTGCAAATGAGCGTAAAAATAACGTGTTGTATTCAAACTAGTCAGCATTCAGTAGAATCCATGTACCTGGATAGAATATATAGCACTATTGCTAAGACTCTTTGTCAATTGGGTTATTCTTTAATGATCACTAAGAGAAAAAGAAGGAATCTGTTAGCCATTACATGTTAGACCGGTGCTTTAAGCTTTAATTCTATAGAGTTCATCTAGGGATCTTGTTAAAATATACTAATTCCATAGGTGCAGGCCGGGGCCTACAATTCTGCATTTCTAGCAAGCCCCCAATGTGTTACCACCATAGAAACAGTAAGGTGTTAGACAAAGCCCCCAGTGTAATTCCCGTACACTTTGCCAACTTTGCTTAAACAAATATCTATGGGTGAGTACATAGAGGAGATCCATACTGAAGACTTGGCATTTGAGCTGAGACATGAGTGGCAGGAAAGAACCAGTCATGAAAATCTTGTGCAAGTGCAAGAGCATTCAAGGCAGAGAAACACACGTGCAAATGCGAACAACCTGAAATGGTACCAGCTTTGGCTGGATCATGGTGAAGGGAGACTGATAAGGGATGACACCTGTGAGAATTTGAAATGGGAAGTCATTGGAGGGTTTTAAGGAAAGGAGTGATATGATGTGATTTACGTTTTGAAGATCACTGTAGAGGCTGTGTGAGGAATGTATTGTACAGGGACCAGAGGAAGCAGGCAGCCATGTGAAGAGGTTATTCCAGTTGTTCGTGGTCACAGTGGTGCTGGAGAAAAGCAAATGGATTTTCTTTCTTATAAATTGGGCCTAGAAAACAGCCAAGATGGACACATAAGAATTCAGCCCATGTTACAAACAAAAGAAAAAAACAGCCAAGATAGAACACGTGAGAATTCAGCCCATGTTACAAACAAAAGAAAAAAAAAGGCACTTTTCCAGGACAGTCCAGGGTCATTAGGGTCATTATGTGCAGATGAATTTGTCTGATTGTCACTTCTATGCGGCCTATACCATGATGGACAGGAAAATATTTAGAATTATTCAGGTAGACCTCTCCAATTCACGTCTCATACAGGACAACCACCAGTTTGAACCTTGGCCTTCCCTTAAAGATATGTATGATAGATGTAGTATGACAGATAACTTTTATTGTAAAATATCTTCAACCACATACAATATAATGAATCCCCATACAGCCATTACCCAGCTTCAGCAATCATCACCTTATGGCCAATTTTGTTTCACTTTTACTCTTCCTCACTCCTGCTTTCACCAACCTGCCTCTCATTGGTTTATTTTGATGCCCCCTTCTCTCACTGGCTTAATTTGAAGTAAATCCCAGACAGCTTTTTAAGAATTTTTGAAGGAAAACAGCAGAGATTAAGAACTGGACTTAACATCTCATCTACAAGAGACCAACCCAAGATTACCAAGACTGCCTGGCTATCATGTATTATAATTATGTCATACGATTCCAGTCTTCCTTTGTAGACTCAAAAGCAGTATGTCTTATTTTGTCACTAAAGATTAATGGTTTTATAAGACAGATGTAGTTGTTTATTCCATTCTTTGTTTTTAAAAAATATATTTTATTTATCCTAGGTTGGGCTTGAAATACGTTGCACTTTTTTATTGGACAAAAAAGTACTATGGAAATCCAATAAATTCAGTAATGGTGTGTGGTGGGAGAGAGAGACCTTGTAGGGAAGTCTTTTCATGGCTTATTATTTACTTTCGAGGGAATTATGTCTACATGTTATCTTTGTAGATTATAACAGGAAAGAAGTGAGAATGGCTTTTTGTTAAAAGTGATCTAAATTGGGTGGTGACATGCAATTTTTTGAGCTTTATTTTTTTCTTTTTGTACTGTTTGTGTAAAGACAAAGTATAACAGTTAAAGCCCCATTACAAAGATAGGAAGAATGCTTTATGGCATCTAGTTATGAACTTAGAGAATTACAGAACTTAGAAGACTAGGTTTGTAAGCAAATAAATTCTCATTTAAAGCAGAAACCTGCATCAACCAGAGGTCCAACTATGTTAAACTGCTGTTTCTAGTAGTCCACATCAGGATTATTTTTATAGTGGTGCTTGTTAGCTCTAACATAAACATTCACATGATAATAACTTCCTGACAAAAGTATACAGCTAAGCTAAAACTCCATTCCGCATGTTTCCTACTAGGACTTCCACAAAGACCATACAGATATATATTTTATTTACACACTTAAACAAATTACTTTGCATGTCATTGCACAGTCTCCATTTTATTCAACATCTAAAGCAAAATATGCTGGGAATAGAAATTAGATAAACAGGCATTCCTCATCCAACAATATCTTTGCAATTTTCAGAGATAAGCTGTGCGAAACTTGTGAGAGGAAAAAATCACTAGTATTTCTATTGAGCTTAATCAAAAATTGGAAAAGAAATACATACATTTAACTTTGTTAAGTATAATAAGCACCTTGTTATGACCCCCATTTCTCACTATGCATGGATCAAGTGAGCCAATGAAGTGCTGACTTCTTAACTATCCCAAATTTTGGACACTTATTTTTATTTAAGAGTATTTTAGGAAAATCACACTTGTTCTAATTTTCAGACAGTTATGGTGGCACTTTTCTATCAAGCTACTAAAAACTTTCACTTATATGCAATGGGTAGATAACATGGCATAATTACAGTTACACATATGAGTAGTTAGCAGAGGAGAAACTACCCTGTTCTTACACCAAGGGAAAAAATGTAAGGACTACATAGCTCATAAAGAATATTAACATTTTCTATCACAAAATAACTAATAAGACTGGAATTGTATCAATCCACATTATAGAGCTTAACATTTAATATTTTTTAATATATTTTCTTTTTTTGGCCACACTGCACGGCATGGAAGATATTAGTTCCCCAACCAGGGATCAAACCCTTGCCCCCTGCAGTGGAAGGGCAGAGTCTTAACCACTGGACCGCCAGGATGTTCTCAAGCTTAACATTTTAGTTGAGGTATTAAAATAAGGCTTTTAGCTTCATATCAAAACTTATTTGGATATTTACATACGTATTAAAAGCATTTTCTCTCTTCATTTGTGGTTTGATTTCATGTAGTGCCTTATATGTTGCTATCTTAACAGTTTCTTAATATAATGGATAATTATTAGAATATAATTATAAGGAATGACAGAATTCTATATAGTTACTTGCAGAGACATTTCAGTGCAAAATCTCATTCACATGTAAACCCAAATTTATTTGTTATCTTAATCTATACTTTGTCAAATGCAAACAGTTTAATTTTTGCTAATTCTTAACTTTAACCAAAGGTCTTGACATTTTAAAAATTTATTCTTATCTACTACTGTATTTAGAAAATACTTTAGTTCACTTTTAGTAAGGTCATTAGAACCCAATTAATCAACCAACTTCTAAGTACATTAAATATTCTACTATAAAGTCTCTCCCAAGTAGAATACACATATCAAGTATTTGTTTTTGTTATTTTTATTCCTTAAGCTTTTACACAGTATTTCAATGTTGTTTTGTCTACTGCTATAAAAAAAAAAGCCCACCTTCCTTCCACCAGTTACTATAATAGTAGTGTTACAGGTTTTTTGTTTGTTTGTCTGTCTTTTTGCGGTATGTGGGCCTCTCACTGTTCTGGCCTCTCCTGTTGCGGAGCACAGGCTCTGGATGCGCAGGCTCAACGGCCATGGCTCATGGGCCCAGCCGCTCTGCGGCATGTGGGATCTTCCCGGACCAGGGCATGAACCCGTGTCCCCTGTATTGGCAGGCGGACTCTCAACCACTGCACCACCAGGGAAGCCCAGTGTTACAGGTTTTTAAGGAAGTGGGTGGGCTCATTTGGGGATGATATGCTTCAAAAGAACAGATTTGCCAAGCTACTGATATGTACTTAGAACCATAATAGCATAATGTACAATTTAGTGGATTTAGGTATTTTAAAAAATATGCTTCCCACTTCCCTGCTAAATGAAATTAATCATCACCTTTGATTTAGTTCTGTCTCCAAGAGGTATGAATAGCATGTAATAAATCACCTCTTTTATTCACAAAGTCTAATGTGAGAAAAGCAAATATATGCTGTATATACCATGCACTAAACTGTTGTTTTTAATTCAATAGTATTGCTTTTTGTTGTTGTTAAAACACAGTATTTACTCTTGTAGCTAAATTGCACATCTAATATCATAGAAAAATCTTCTAATGGAATAAGCTGTAAAATCTCTACCCCAACAAAGTTAATTCAGTGTCTAGGAAGCACCCTATTGAAAAATAGTGGATTAAGTCCTACAGTGCCTGTAATTGAGTTTTAAAAGTGGTGTCCCTTGTAAAGCAATTATACTCCAATAAAGATGTTAAAAAAAAAGTGGTGTGTTGCTATACTGAATACAAAAATATGATAGAAAGGATTCAGGCCTTATAAATGGTTGGAGAAACTCTCATCTGTATATCTAATTAATTCCATTAGACTTCCTGGGTAGTAGCTTGGTTCAAAATATTGATTGGCTTTAGTTATGGAAAAATAACAAAGTACTAATGAAGACAAAAAAATTTCCTTTGAGTTGGAGATTCATTCACGGCTAGAAAAGAAAAAAAAAGTCAGTTTAGAATGGGTTATAATTAATTTAAAACATTGTAATTGTATGCACACAGTTGTAAAAATGATTTAAATTGATATGAATAATACCAAGGGAAATGTATGGCACAGTTTGGGCAGTTTTTATATGTATATTCAATGAAACAATGGTTTGTCTGACTTTAGCCAAAGTATATGTTTCAAATGATTTTAAGCACAAGGGAGGGAGATGTGAGTAGATTTACTCCTTGGTGTCATAGTTAGAAGTTAAATATGTCCAAAAGTCTCTGTTAATAAGTACAGATCTATCATCTGTGAATTTACTTAAATATATTTTGAATTTGCTATCAGTATCTAGTTCCTTCAGATATTGAGTTTGATGTTCATTGCTGTATGCTGTTAATGAAAGGAGAAGTAATGACTATTATTCTGTAGACCCTTTATTTGGTAGGTCTTCACATTGATGCCACCTCTGAGACACATGTGGTTAGTAGCAGCAATTGCTTCTCAGTATTAAATTTCAGAATCAAATAAACTTTGAGTGACAAATTTTAAATCCTATGCTGACCTTCTCTTGTTGCTCAACTGGTTCTTGGGCCACAAAGCACCCTTTGTCAATTAATAATTAGTAATAAATAATTCTCAACTAATTAATGACCTAAGAAGCACAATATATTTCAAAGCTTAAATTTTTATCTTAGGATTACTAAGTGTTGGTTGCTTTCAATGATGATAATCATGTATACAAGATTGATGGCTTTATTGTAGTCAGAGAAGTGCTTCAGAGCTATCAACTTTCTGAATTTTTTGGTTTATTCAAATATTTGAGCTTGTTCAACCAAAAGATAATTTTTTTAAAGTGAGTTATTTAACAGATATTTAATTTTATTAACTACATCTGTAGTAATTTATTAGTTATACATCTGTAGTATTTTATTAATGATAAATCTACATTTAAAAATTTCCTCAAAAGGTTGTACAGAATAATTGATTGACATACATTTATCTATTGCTCATCATGATATACTTAAGCATTTTAAGACTTTTATTGAAGTATAATAAACATAGGAAAAGTGCACATATAGGTGTACAACTAAATGAATTTTCCCAAACTGAACATGTATATGCAACTATCACTCAGATCAAGAAACAGCATATTATTAGTACCCCAGTAGTCCTCCTTTTGTTTCCTTCCAATCAGTACCCGACCTTGAGGATAACCAACCACTTCCTGACTTTAATAACCATGGATTAGTTTTACCTGCTTTCAGTACCTAAGAAGTTTTTAACATAACAAGACAAAGACTGTCATTTTCATAGTGTTAAAAGTGAGATTCTACATCATTTTAGAATGTCCTACAATGTGCAGGGAAGTCCCCCCACATCAAATTATCCAGCCCAAAATGTTAATAGTGCTGAGGTTGAGAAACTCTGCTAACACAACACAATGGCCTTAGGATTTTTTTCTCCCTAATTATATACTCGAAAAATGCCCAAGTGAACTTACACAAGTCCATTTGTCTTCTATTTTCTCAATCACAATAGTCTGTGTGTCACTACCTGGTGGTATATATTCATAGTCATCATACAGGAGGCCTAAGATAGGATATTGTGACCTGTACCTATATAGAAAAAAAGAGTTAGTTTACAAGCTGGACAAGAAAATAACTCTCATTACTTTTTAGTCACTCCTAGTTTGATCCTCCTTATTTAATTAATTTGGCTTTGAATGACTTTTAACTCTTTCTAAAAAGAAAATCACCTCTCAGTGGTACAAAGATTTACTACGGCTATTTTCAAGAGAGTAAGAGGGAAGTACTTTTGCTTCTGGCAATAATGGACCACTGGCTGCACAATACAGTGATCCCAGAGAAGGGAAGCAAATGACATGAGCACTACAAGTGCCTAGCTCATGGCCTGGAGTCAGAATATGTGGAGCAGAATACCAGACAGGAGAGAGCTACATAGTTGGAGAGAGGTCATGGGATCTGTAGAGAGTTCCCCCACAAGTCCTTGGTGAGCACTGATCAGTATAGGCTTGTGAAAAAGCTACTGAGGCTAGGGAAAGAAGCACTGAAAAAGAGCACTCTTCAAATTCCTGGAGTTCACATAGTAAAGGGAACTCCAATCTGTGTTCCACTAACCAGAGTGGAAAGACCTCCTAATACCAGAGGGCATCAGGCAAATACTACAAAAGACTATCACCTTAGTAGTGAGAAAAATTACCAATGGCATTTTTCACAGAACTAGAACAAAATATTTCACAATTTGTATGGAAACACAAAAGATCCCAAATAGCCAAAGGAATCTTGAGACAGAAAAACGGAGCTGGACGAATCAGGCTCCCTGACTTCAGACTATACTACAAAGCTACAGTCATCAAGACAGTATGGTACTGGCACAAAAACAGAAAGATAGATCAATGGAACAAGATAGAAAGCCCAGAGATGAACCCACACATATGTGGCCTTATCATTGATAAAGGAGGCAATAATACACAATGGAGAAAAGACAGCCTCTTCAAAAAGTGGTGCTGGGAAAACTGGACAGTACATGTAAAAGAATGAAATTAGAACACTCCTTAACACCATACACAACAATAAACTCAAAATGGATTAAAGACCTAAAGGTAAGGCCAGACACTATAAAATTCTTAGAGGAAAACATAGGCAGAACATTCTATGCCATACATCACAGCAAGATCTTTTTTGACCCACCACCTAGAGAAATGGAAATAAAAACAAAAATAAACAAATGGGACCTAATGAAACTTAAAAGCTTTTGCACAGCAAAGGAAAACATAACACCAAAAGACAACCCTCAGAATGGGAGAAAATATTTGCTAATGAAGCAACTGACAAAGGATTAATCTCCAATATTTAAAAGCAGTTCATGCAGCTCAATTTCAAAAAACAAACAACCCAATCCAAAAATGGGCAGAAGACCTAAATAGACATTTCTCCAAAGATATACAGATTGCCAACAAACACATGAAAGGATGCTCAACGTCACTAATCATTTGAGAAATGCAAATCAAAACTACAATGAGGTATCACCTCACACCAGTCAGAATGGCCATCATCAAAATAATCTACAAACAATAAATGCTGGAGAGGGTGTGGAGAAAAGGGAACACTCTTGCACTGTTGTTGGGAATGTAAATTGATACAGCCACTATGAAGAAAAGTATGGAGGTTCCTTAAAAACTAAAAATAGAGCTACCATACGACCCAGCAATCCCACTACTGGGCATATACACCAAGAAAACCATAATTCAAAAAGAGTCATGTATCACAATGTTCATTGCAGCTCTGTTTACAATAGCCAGGACATGGAAGCAACCTAAGTGTCCATCGACAGATGAATGGATAAAGAAGATGTGGCATGTATATTCAATGGGATATTACTCAGCCATAAAAAGAAACGAAATTGAGTTATTTGTAGTGAGGTGGATGGACGTAGAGTCTGTCATACAAAGTAAGTCAGAAAGAGGAAAACAAATACCGTATGCTAACACATATATATGGAATCTAAAAAAAAATTGTACTGAAGAACCTAGGAGCAGAACAGGAATAAAGATGCAGAGGTAGAGAATGGACTTGAGGACACGGGGATGGGGAAGGGTCAGCTGAGACGAAGTGAGAGAGTGGCATGGACATATATACACTACCAAATGTAAAATAGATAGCTAGTAGGAAGCAGCCACATAGCACAGGGAGATCAGCTTGGTGCTTTTTATCCACCTAGAGGGGTGGGATAGGGAGGATAGGAGGGAGATGCAAGAGGGAGGAGATATAGAGATATATGTTTATGTATAGCTGATTCACTTTGTTATACAGCAGAAACTAACACACCATTGTAAAGCAATTATATTCCATTAAAGATGTTAAAAAAATAAAATGAAATAAGCTGTAAGGATATATTGTACAAAACAGGGAATATAGCCAATACTTTATAGTAAGTAAAAATAGAATATACTTTAAAATTGTGAATCACTACATAGTGTACTTAAAACTTATTTAATATTGTAGATCAACTATACCTCAATAAAAAAATTTGGACTAAAAAAAGTACATATAAATGAAAAAAATAGCAAAAAATCATGAAGGGGAAATGGAAGTATACTACCATAAAGTTTGTATGCTACATGTGATGAGGTATATTATTTGAAGATAGACTGTGATAAGATAAAAAGGAATACTTTGAAACTTATACCAATTATAAGAAAGTAATATACCCAATAAGCCAATAAAATAGATAAAAACAATAATGAAAGAACATTTAAAATATCACTAAAATTGATATAGTTCTAAGCAGACTAGTCAGCAAAGAAAGAGCACACAATTAACTGATATTAAGAAAGAGAAGCTATCACCTCACACATGTCTTAGAACGGCTATTATCAATAAGACAAGAAATAGCAAGTGTTGGCAAGATGTGGAGAAAAGGGAACACTTGTGCACTGTTGGTGCGAATGCAAACTGGTGCAGCCACTATGGAAAACAGTATGGAGAGTCCTTAAAAAATTAAAAATAGAACTAGCATATGATCCAGCAATGTCACTTCTGGGTATTTATCAAGAGGAAATGAAAACACTATAATATATCTACACCCTCATGTTCACTGTGGCATTATTTACAATAGTCAAGACATGGAATCAATGTAAGTGTCCATCAATATTAGAATGGATAAATAAAATATTATATATATAATAAATGTATAATATATATATACATATATTTACACACATACTGGAATATTCTTTTTAGTTTTTTAAAAATTTTATGTTTATTTTTAAAAAATACAGCCGGTTCTTGTTAGTTATCTATTTTATACATATTAGTGTATATGTGTCAATCCCAATCTCCCAATTCATCCCACCACCACCCCGCCCCACACTAGAATATTATTCAGCCAAAAATGAAGGAAATCCTACCATTTATGACAGCATGGACGGACCTTGAGTGCATTAAACAAAGTGAAATAAGTCAGAGGAGAAAGACAAATACCATATTCTCTCACTTATACATGGAATCTAAAACAAATGAACTCATAGATAAAGAGAATATATTGATGGTTGCTAGAGGTGGGGGGTGAGAGTGGGCAAAATGGGTGAAAGTGGTCAAAAAGTACAAACTTCCAGTTATAAAATAAATAAGTCCTGGGGATGTAATGAACAGTGTGGTGACTATAGTTAATAATACTGTATTGGATAATTGAAAGTTGCTAAAAGATTAGATCTTAAAACGTTCTCATCACAAGAAAAAAATTTGTAATTATGGATGGTGATGGGTGTTAACTAGACTTATTGTGGTGATCATTTAGCAGTATACACATAGTGAATCATTATTTTGTACATCCAAAACTAAAATAATGTTATAAGTTAATTATATCTCAATTTTTAAAATTTTAAAGGAGATACTTTGTCTTGAAAACATAATAAAGGAGTATTATGACAATTTTATGCCAAGAAAACTTGATAACTTAGATGACATGCACCAATTCCTCGAGAGACACAAACTACCAAACAGAGCTGACAGAAGACCTCAAACTTCCTAAAAGACAAGAAAACCTCCACATAACCTGATAAGACAAAAGGAAAAAAAAAAGGAATCAGGACAGGGAGGGAACTGGGAAAGAAGAAAGATTCCCGCACCTTGGAAAGTCTGCTCACCAGTGGAGAGATCAGACTGGATGAAGGGGGAGTTTCGGAGCCTAAGAGGGGAGAGCAAACAACCAGTTCGTGTAAGGCAAAATGGAGAGTAACCTGCACAGAGGGCTGGAACTGCCACCCTGCACTCCCCAATCTGAAACACTCCTCTGTTGGTGAGGGTGGGAGTTGGGTGCTTAAGCTCAGACTCTGAAGTTCGGTCCCAGGGAGAGGACCAGGGTTAGGTGTGGAAGCAGCCTGAAGAGGTCAGGCAGTGGCAACTGAAGGTATACCATGAAGAAGCCTTGGCCAACCAGAGAAACAAGGCACCATTATTGGGAGGTGCATGAGGAGAGGGATGTGACCACAAGCTTCTTTCCCTATGAGTGCTCCCAGTCAACAGGACACTGCCTAGAGGAGTTCTCAGGGTGGGCGTGAGTCACCACCTCCATCTTGGTCTCCAGAGGCAGGCACTGGCCACCTCTTCCAGACCCACAGGCAGACACTGGAACCCATCTGACTGTCTCAGGAGTGCCCTGATAGCTCTCACTACAAGGAAATCCACCAGTGGGTGCTGGGACTGTCAGCGTGTGCTAGGACTTCACCCGCTGTCCCAGGAGCACACAGAAACCTCTCACTACTAGGAAATTCATCAGCGGGTGCCAGGACCTGCCCCACTATCCAGGGAGCATGTGGATGGCTCTTGCTACAGGGAAATCTGACAGTGGGTGTCCGGATCTGCCCCACTGTCCCAGAAGGAGAGGGATAGCTCCCACCACTAGGAAATCCACCCAGAGTAGGGGCTGAAACCACCACTGAGAGCCAGGGGTTGTGTGACTAAGGAAGAAGAGCTGAAATCTCTCCTCGGAGCTGAACGAACTGTGGAGTTACACCTCTGCTGATGGCTTCCTAAATTCAGCACCTGTGAAACATCCAAAAGGACAACAAGAACTCCTGCACTTGGATGGATATGGCACTAGTAGCTGTGGGATTTGTGGGCATGTACACATGGGGAATGTGCCAGACCAGAGTCTGAGCAGCCTCCATAGCTCCCATGGCAGGTCCAGGTGAATGAATGCTGCAGTCCTAGGAACTGACCTCAGTGGATCTGTGCCAGTGACTGGGTGAAAAGAATGCCTGAGAGTCACCAGGGCCAATTGCTGGCATACCCACAGTTAAGGTGGGACCAAGAGCAGTGCCAACAACAGTGTACTTTGTGAGTCCACACAACGGATGAAAGGGGACACAACAGAGCACATTCACAGTGAACACCTCCAGAGGAGGAACACTCATTAGCTTCTCTCTCAGTGGGAGTCCTCCAATCCCACATACTTCACATCACACCGCAGATCAGAATCACAGCAAAGAAAAAGATCTAGGGACCTCTACTCCAACAAATAGAGAAGACCCCACCCCTCACAGGGCAGTAACAGCCACTGGGAGCAAAGGGGAGGTCCTCTCAATATCCAGGGCAGGCTCTGATCACCACAACACCAATCAAACACCTTACCAATGGGATAACAGCAAAAGCCAATGGACCAACCTCACCCACCAGGCGGCAGACAACAGAAGCAAGAGGAAGTACAATCCTGCAGCCTGTGAAAAGGAGACCACAAACAGAATAAGTCTGACAAAATGAGATGACAAAGAAATATGTTGCAGGCAAAAGAACAAGAAAAAAACCTACAAGAACAACTAGATGAAGAGGAGATAAGCAATCTGTCTAAAAAAGTATTCAAAGTAATGATAGTAAAGATGATCCAAGATCACAGAAAAAGAATGGAGGCATGGATCGAGAAGATACAAGAAAAGTTTAACAAACACCTAGAAAAACTAAAGAACAAACAGAGCTGAACAACACAATAATGAAAATAAAAATACACTAGAGGCAGAGGACCTTTAAGAGGGCAGAGGAGTAAAACGTGGAGAACACCTTCCTCCCCACAAATACATCAAAAATACATCTACATGTGAAACAACTCCTACACAACACCTACTGAACACTGGCAGAAGACCTCAGACTTCCCAAAAGGGTGTGTGAGGAGAGAGGATTCAGAGCACCGCCTAAACGAGCTTCAGAGACTGGTGTGAGCCTCAGTTATCAGTGCATACATCACAGATGGGCATGAAACGCTAACACTGCTGCTGCAGGCACCAAGAATCCTGTGTGCAAGCACAAGTCACTATCTACACCACCCATCCCAGGAGGCTGTGCAGCCCGCCACTGCTAGGGTCCTGTGATCCAGGGACAACTTCCTCAAGAGAACACACAGCACACCTCAGGCTGTGGCAATGTCACTGCAGGCCTCTGCCACCACAGGCTCGCCCTGCATTCTGTACCCCTCCCACCCCCTGGCCTGAGTGAGCCAGAGCCCCCTAATCACCTGATCCTTTAACCCCACCCTGCCTGGGCAAACAACAGATGCCAGAGGGTGACCTACATGCAGAGGTGGGGCCAACTCCAAAGCAGAATCCCAGGAGCTCTGTGAACAAAGAAGAGAAAGGGAAATTTCTCCCAGCAGCCTCAGGAGCAGCGGATTAAATCTCCACAATCAACTTGATGTACCCTGCATCAGTGGAACACCTGAATAGACAATGAATCCTCCCAAAACTGAGGTAGTGGACTTTGGGAGCAACTATAGAATTAGGGTTTTCTTTCTACGTCTAATTTGTTTCTAGTATTATGTTTATCTTAGTTTAGTATTTAGAGCTTATTACCATTGGTAGATTCGTTTATTGATTTGGTTTCTCTCTTCCTTATATATATATATGTATTTTGTTTGTTTGTTTTTTCCTTTTTCCATTTTTGTGAGTGTGTATGTATATGCTCCTTTGTGTGATTTTGTCTGTATAGGTTTGCTTTTACCATTTCTCCTAGGGTTCTGTCAGTCTGTTGTTTTTTACTGTAGTTTCTAGCACTTCTTATAATTGGTGGATTAGTTTATTGGTTTAGTTGCTGTCTTCCTTCTTTTTATTAATTACTTAATTTTATTATAATAATACTTAAATTTTTTTTTTTTACTTTAATAACTTTAGGGTTTTTTTTTTCTTTTTTCTTTTCTCACTTTTCTTCTGAGCTGTGTGGCTGACAGGGTCTTGGTTCTCTGGCCGGGTGTCAGACCTGAGCTTCTGAGTTGGGAGAGCCGAGTTCAGGACAATGGTCCACCAGAGACCTAAGAGCCCCTCATAAGATCAATCAGCAAGAGTTCTCCCACTGATTTCCATCTCAATGCTAAGACAAAGTTTCTCTCAATGACCAGGAAGCTCCAGTGCTGGACACCCCATGCAAAACAACCAGTAAGACAGGAACACAGCACCACCCACTAGCAGAGAAGCTGCCTAAAATCATAAAAAGTTCACACACACCCCAAAACACACCACTGGACATAGTCCTTCCCACCAGAAAGAAAAGATCTAGCCTCAGCCACTAGAACACAGCACCAGTCCCCTCCACCAGGAAGCCTACACAACCCATTGAACCAACCTTACCCACTGGGGGCAGACACCAAAAACAAAGGGAACTATGAACCTGCAGCCTGCAAAAAGGAGACCCCAAACACATCCGGTTAAGCAAAATGAGAAGACAGAGAAACACAAAGCAGATGAAGGAGCAAGGTAAAAACCCAACAGACCAAACAAATGAAGAGGAAATAGGCAGTCTACCTGAAAAAGAATTCAGAGTAATGATAGTAAAGATGATCCAAAATCTTGCAAGAACAATGGAGAAAATAAAAGAAACATTCAACAAGGACCTAGAAGAACGAAAGAGCAAGCAAACAATGATGAACAACACAATAAATGAAATTAAAAATTCTCTAGAAGGAATTAACAGCAGAATAACTGAGGCAGAAGAATGGATAAGTGACCTGGAAGATAAAATAATGGAAATAACAACCACAGAGCAGAAAAAAGAAAAAGGAATGAAAAGAATAGAGGACAGTCTCAGAGACCTCAGGGACATTAAACACACCAACATGCGAATTATAGGGGTCGCAGAAGAAGAGAAAAAGAAATGGACTGAGAAAATATTTGTAGAGACTATAGTTGAAAACTTCCCTAATATGGGAAATGAAACAATCAAGTCCAGGAAGCGCAGAGAGTCCCATACAGAAAATATCCAAGGAGAAACATGCCAAGACACACAGTATTCAAACTACCAAAAATTAAATACAAAGAAAAAATATTAAAAGCAGCAAGGGAAAAGCAACAAATAACATACAAGGGAATCCCCATAAGGCTAACAGCTGATCTTTCAGCAGAAACTCTGCAAGCCAGAAGGGACTGGAAGGACATACTTAAAGTGATGAAAGGGAAAAATCTACAACCAAGATTACTTGACCCAGCAAAGATCTCATTCAGATTCGAAAGAGAAATTAAAACATTCAGAGACAAGAAAAAGCTAAGAGAATTCAGCACCACCAAACCAGCTTTACAACAAACGCTAAAGGAACTTCTCTAGGCAGGAAACACGAGAGAAGGAAAAGACCTACAATAACAAACCCAAAACAATTTAGAAAATGGTAATAGTAACATACATATCGATAACTAACTTAAATATAAATGGATTAAATGCTCCAACCAAAAGACATAGACTGGCTGAATGGATACAAAAACAAGACCCATATACATGCTGTCTACAAGAGGCCCACTTCAGACCTAGGGACACGTACAGACTGAAAGTAAGGGAATGGAAAAAGATATTCTGTGCAAATGGAAATCAAAAGAAAGCTGGAGTAGAAATTCTCGTATCAGACATAATAGACTTTAAAATAAAGACTGTTATAAGAGACAAGGAAGGACACTACATAATGATCAAGGGATCAATCCAAGAAGAAGATATAACAATTGTAAATGTTTATGCACCCAGCATAGGAGCACCTCAACACTTAAGGCAAATGCTAACAGCCATAAGATGGGAAATTGACAGTAACACAATAATAGTAGGAGACATTAACACCCCACTTTCACCAATGGACAGATCATCCAAAATGAAAATAAATAAGGAAACACAAGCTTTATATGATACATTAAACAAGATGGACTTAATTGATATTTATAGGACATTCTGTCCAAAAACAACAGAATACACTTTCTTCGCAAGTGATCATGGAACATTCTGCAAGATAGGCCATATCTTTGGTCACAAATCAAGCCTTGGTTAATTTAAGAAAACTGAAATTGTATGAAATATGTTTTCTGACCACAACACTATGAAACTATATGTCAATTACAGGAAAAAATCTGTAAAAAATACCAATACATGGAGGCTAAACAATACACTACTAAATAACCAAGAGATCACTGAAGAAATCAAAGAGGAAATCAAAAAATACCTAAAAACAAATGATAATGAAAACACGACGACCCAAAACTCATGGGATGCAGCAAAAGCACTTCTAAATGGGAAGTTTATAGCAATAAAATCCTACCTCAAGAAACAAAAATCACCTCAAATAAACAACCTAACCTTACACCTAAAGCAATTAGAGAAAGAATAAAATAATCCCACAGTTAGCAGAAGGAAAGAAATCATAAAGATCAGATCAGAAATAAATGAAAAAGAAATGAAGGAAACGATAGCAAAGATCAATGAAACTAAAAGCTGCTTGTATGAGAAGATAAACAAAATTGTTAACCATTAGCTGGACTCATGAAGAAAAAAAAGTAGAAGATTCAAATCAACAGAATTAGAAATGAAAAAGGAGAAGTAACAACTGACATTGCAGAAATACAAAGGATCATAAGAGATTACTAGAAGCAAGTGTATGCCAATAAAAAGGACAACGTGGAAGAAATGGACAAATTCTTAGAAAAGCACAATCTTCCCAGATTGAACCAGGAAGAAACAGAAAATATAAACAGACCAATCACAAGCACTGAAATTGAAACTGTGATTAAAAATCTTCCAACAGGGCTTCCCTGGTGGTGCAGTGATTGGGAGACCACCTTCCAATGCAGGGGACACAGGTTCGTGCCCCAGTCCGGGAATATCCTACATGCCACAGAGTGGCTGGGCCCGTGAGCCATGTACGCTGAGCCTGCGCATCCAGAGCCTGTGGTCCACAATGTGAGAGGCCACAACAGTGAGAGGCCCACGTACAGAAAAAAAAAAATCTTCCAATGAACAGAAGCCCAGGACCAGATGGCTTCACAGGTGAATTCTTTCAAACATTTACCGAAGCGCTAACACCTATCCTTCTCAAACTCTTCCAAAATATATCAGACGGTGGAAAACTCCCAAACTCATTCTACAAGGCCACCATCACCCTGATACCAAAACCAGACAAAGAGTTCACAGAGAAAGAAAACTACAGGCCAATATTAGTGATGAACATAGATGCAAAAATCCTCAACAAAATACTAGCAAACAGAATCCAACAGCACCTTAAAAGGATCATACACCATCATCAAGTGAGGTTTATATCAGGAATACAAGGATTCTTCAGTATAGGCAAATCAATCAATGTGATACACCGTATTAACAAATTGAAGGATAAAAAACATATGATAATCTCAATAGATACAGAAAAAGCTTTTGACGAATTTCAACACCCATTTATGATAAAAAATCTCCAGAAAGTAGGCATAGAGGGAACTTACCTCACCATAATAAAGGTGATATATGGCAAACCCACAGGAAACATCATTCTCAATAGTGAAAAACAAACCATTTCCACTAAGATCAGGAAGAAGACAGGGTTCCCCACTCTCACCACTGTTATTCAACATAGTTTTGGAAGTTTCAGCCACAGCAATCACAGAAGAAAAAAGAAATGAAAAGAATCCATACCAGAAAAGAAGAAGTAAAGCTGTCACTGTTTGCAGATGACATGATATATACATAAAATATCCTAAAGATTCTACCATTAAACTAGTAAAGCTAATCAGTGAATTTGGAAAAGTTGCAGGATACAAAATACACAGAAGTCTCTTGCATTCCTATACACTAACAATAAAAGATCAGAAAGAGAAATTAAGGAAACAATCCCATTTACCATCACATCAAAAACAATAAAATAGCTAGGAATAAACATACCAAAGGAGGCAAAAGACCTGTACTCAGGAAACTACAAGATGTCGATGAAAGAAAACAAAGATGACACAAACAGCTGGAGATATACCATAGTCTTAGATTGGAAGAATCAATATTGAGAAAATGACTATACTACCCAAAGTAATCTACAGATTCAATGCAATCCTTAACAAATTACCAATGGCATTTTTCAAGGAAGTAGAACAAAAAATTTTACAATTTGTATGGAAACAGAAAAGACCATGAATAGTCACAGGAATCCTGAGACAGAAAAACAGAGCTAGAGGAATCAGGCTTCCTGATTTCAGACTATACTACAAAGCTACAGTCATCAAGACAGTATGGTACCAGCACAAAATAGAAATATAGATCAATGGAACAGGATAGAAAGCCCAGAGATAAACCCACACACCTATGGTCATGTAATCTATGACTAATGAGGCAAGAATA